TTGGTTGCTGGCTGTCGGAGGGCATGGAGGAGAGCCTAGGAGAAGGGGCTGGAGTTTAGGGGCCCAGTCTCCCCCATCTCAAGGGGGCCTGAGGCATCCTAGCCCAGTTCCTGTAACCAAATTACATCTGTGCTGCGCTGTGCTGGAGGAGCAATAAACCACCCTCAATTCCACTGGCTGGTGCAGTCTGTTTGTGCCATTTCGGGGTGCAGGAGACGGGGAACCCCCAACGCGCCGTCACAGTGGCATAGCAGGAAGAGATGGGGAGAGGAGCGGAAAGAGGCAAGAAGAAATGGGAGGAGGGCAAGGCCTGAGGCAGAGCACCCGTTGGGAACTGGGGAAGTCCGCACCTCTGGAGAGGAAGCTGGAGAATCCCATGATATAAATCCGTGGTACACCAACACCTTCCATGCTGGCTTCACTTCTGGTGCCCTATCTCAAAAAAGATGCATAAGAATTGGAAAAGGTACAGAAGAGAGCAATAGAAATGATTTAAGGGTATGGACCAACTTCCACATGAGAAGAATTTTAACAGACTGGGACTTTTCAGCTTGGAAAAGTGCTGACTAAGGGGGGGGATGTAGAGTTCTGTAAGATCATGAATGGTCTGAGGAAAGTGAACCAGGAAGCATTATTTAGCCCTTCTCATAACACAAGGCACAGGGGTTACCTAATTAATAGCAGGCTTAATGGAAGTACGGGAAGTCCCCAACTTACGAACGGGTTGTGTTCCAAAGTTCATTTGTAAGTTGGTTGTTTGGAACGTGTTGCACGTTTTCCCATAGACATGATGTTATAAATGATAGGTTCTCAGACTAGCCCGCAAAAGCCTATTTAGCCCATGATGGAGCTGAAATAGAAAAATAGTAGAAATAGTTTATTTAACCTTGAATACTAGTGCTTGAGGAAAGGCAGGGTTAATTAGGAAAGGACGAGGAGGTAAAGGGACTTCTGGCTGATGCCCCCCTCCTGCCGAGGGCTGTGCATCAGCCCCATTTCCCAGCTAATAACTCCTGTCCCCACCAACTGTACCCACTCAGCAAGAGGCAGTGAACAGTGCAAGCATGAGCCAGAGGACTCTGGAGTGGCAGGGAGGAGCCATGCAGCCGGTGTCTGGAGAGAAATAGTGGTGTTATATGGTGCCTCTTTGAAGCACCAATTCTCTCCAGCCACTGGCTGAACAATTGCCCTCTGCTCCTCTGGAGTCCTTCAGCCATCACTCACGCTGCTCACCACCACCTGTGCCTCTTGCCTGCTCCTTGCGGCAGCAGGTGAGCTTCTGTTGTATGTGGGGAAGTTTGTAAGTCAGATGCTTGTAGCTCAGGGAGTGTCTGTACTTCAGTGCGAGTGGATATTGTGAAGGCCAAAAGTAGATCTAGGTTCAAAAAAGAATTAGATGAGCTCCAAAGAAGAGGTTCATCAATGGTTATTCGCCAAGAAGGTCAGGGAAGCAACCCCCTGCTCTGGGTGTCCCTAGCCTTTGATGACCAGAAACTGAGTGTGGATGTGAAAGGATGGGTTGCTCAATAATTGCCGTGTTCTGTTCATTCCTCTGAAGCTCCTGGCATTGGCCGCTGTTGGAAGACAGGATAGTGGGCTAGATGGGCCATTGGTCTGATTTACTGTGGCTGTTCGTGTGTTCTTATCTTTTAATTTCTTCAGTTTAGGGTCTTTTCTAGTTGTATTTAACAAAGCAACTTTCTTTGGGAAAACCAGATTTTGGGAGCGACTTGCTGCGGTTGAATGCAAACTACCCAACGTAGATTGTTACATATGGAATTCTCCCACCTTTCATGCTGTATTTGTGTAAAAGGCTAATAGGGATGTGAAATGTTGGTTAATCAGTGAACCAGTTAAACGTTAGGTTAACCAAACGTTTAACCAGTTAACTGACTAAGCAGGATCCAGGCTGAGGACCACTCCAGCCCACCTGGAGCAGCCCTCAGCCTGCCAGGCTCCTTCCCTCATCCCTTGCGCTGGGGCTGGCACTGTTGTCAGCTCCCAGGCCCCGCTCTGGGGCTGCTGCCAGCTCCCGGCTCGCAGCCCCTCTCTGCAATGGGGCCGGGCTCCCTGCCGACCGAGGCTGCGCCCTAA